GCGTACAGGAAAACTAAAAGTTTTGCCTACCGGTTATGTTGGCATGGCTGTGTGTGTGTGTGTGTGTGTGTGTGTGTGCGTGTGTGTCTGAGAGAGAGAGAGAGATGTGACTGGGTGGGCGTGGCAATATAGTCATGTGACTGGCAGGGGAAAAATGCTTTAAAAAGTGGGGAAATAGCTTCCGACAATTGCTCAGCTTTTTAAGAGTAAATAGCATAAAGTAAAGTAAAAACACATGAATAAAATTACAAATAAGTACCCATAGTAATTCCTTTTGTGAAAACACAGAAGCAAAACCATGAATTTCATTTTAGTATGCTGTAAATTAAATATTAAAAAGTGGTAGTGTCATGCAGTGTAATCATTTGCACATCCAGGAATAATCTAATGCTAGGTGATCAAATGTCAGATTTTCTTGTCACACTGAAGAATGCTTGTGGAGATTCTCAGTCATCCAGGCCATGGTTGTCTCAAAGGTGCTTTTTCAAAAGGCAATTGGACTTTCTTTGTTTTTCCTTGAAGACATTTCACTTCTCCTCCAAGAAGTGAACTGAAGAAGCTTCTTCAGAATTTTTCAAGAATTCTTCAAAAGAATTTTTCCATTTTTCAGAAGAAGCTTCTGAGAAGTGAAATGTCTTTGAGGAAAAATAAAGGAAGTCCAATTGCCTTTTGAAAAAGCAGCTTTGGGTCACACTTCCTTTTTATTTTAAAGATTTCCTTTTCATTTCCAAGCCTCTCTTGGTCCCAGAAGCCATTGGGATGGGAAATTTGTTCTGTGAGTGAACCCCATTTTTCTAGGGGATGAATAGCAATGAGTGTACCCTTAAAATGTTCAATACTTTAAAACATATGCTGGCAATTTAGATTTATGAAGAAAGAAATGAAGCCTTGGATTACAGAGGACCAGACTCACCTCCAAAGTCTGCATCAATGTTGGTTTAATTGCATCCTTCATTAAAACTGCCAAAGCACCAGTTACTCCCTAAAACAAAGAGATTTTTATTTTTAAGATTAATGTTATTTGAAACTAAGAAGAAGTTCAAGCAAACTAACCTAAGGCATCAAGTAAAAACAAATAAACCTAGAACGGATAAAGTTAGAATGGATTATGGTTAAGTTGTGATGGTATCACAGCTTAAAAGAAAAAAGAATGGCCTCAATTTCTATAAACTGCAAATAATTTTCTTATTTACAACATTGAAACATTATAATTTGGAAGAAGTAACTTGTAACAAATGTTGAAATATGTCAAGTGTTAAGTGGTTTAATAACTTGACATTATTCAAGATTACTTTCCAGGGTTTCTACAAGTGTTAGAAGGGGAAGATGTCCCTTATATTGTGTTGGACTCAGCAGAAATCAAAAGTAGTTTTGTAAACTCGGGGGTTAGCATGAGGAATTTGAATGTACTGTGGACCTTTACGAAAATATCTAGCAAGTTTTAATCATTTTTCTTAAAAGGCAGTTGAATCAGTAAAATCATACCTAGTTTGGAAAAATGTATTCCTCGGTCTCCTATAATGATGGAATCTACTGTCATCCAAGAAATATAGGATATACAAATGGATGGTGTTTTTCACTCAGCACAGAATTAAATGGAATTAATTGCCACAGTTTACAGTAAAGACAATTAATTAATTCTCTCAATGGCTGCTATTGATTTATGCAAATTCAAGCATAGAAATAGCATACTTTCAACATTAGCTGAGAAGCTGTAAGACAAATAGGGCATTGCGTTAATCTGCATGTTTTTTTAAAATAACTGGCTGAGATCCAAGATCAGAGTGTCCTTCCTTCCTTCCTTCCTTCCTTCCTTCCTTCCTTCCTTCCTTCCTTCC